AAGAACAGTATGTTGAAATATTGAAGCAGCATCTCAAGACATCAGCCAGGAAGTTAAAGCTTGGGCGCAAATGGGTCTTCCAAATGGACAATGACCCTAAGCATACTGCAAAATTGGTTACAGAGTGGCTTAAGGGCAACAAAGTCAATGTTTTGGAGTGGCCATCACAAAGCCCTGATCTTAATCCCATAGAAAATTTGTGGTCAGAGCTGAAAAGACGTGTGAGAGCAAGGCGGCCTACAAACCTGACTCAATTACACCAGTTCTGCCAGGAGGAATGGGCCAAAATTCCATTAAACTGTTGTGAGAAGCTTGTGGAAGGGTACCCAAAGCGTTTGCGTCAAGTCATTCAGTTTAAAGGCAATTCTACCAAATACTAAGCAAATGTATGTAAACTTTTGACTTTGAAGAAAGTAATAAAAAAATCTCTAAAAAATTCTCTCACACATTATTTTGACATTTAGCAAATAGAAATTATTTTGGGAATCCGAACGAGCCTAAAACTGAAAGGGTTTTGTATGATTTAATATCAGACAGTAAGAAAAAAAAAGTTATATGTCTTTTTATACAGTGTATGTAAACTTTTGGTTTCAACTGTATATAACAGATAACATTACTTTATACTGTTGTTAAAAAGCAGAAACGTCAACGAACATGAAATCACCAATAAACTACGCCTATTTATCCAACATGTTATAATACATGCCGTGTTTGAAAACTTTTCAGGTTTACGATTTCAGGACAGCTCAGCCACTCTGTTAGGAATATTACGGCATTTTGGCTGCGGGTGTTAACTTTACTGCTGCTATTAACACTAATGGCACATTAGCACAAAGGGTTGCATACGCAGAACTACGTCTTGCTTGGCGGTTAAAGGCGTTTGACGTTCTTTGGTGTGGGCAATGGTGGTTCTAGTGCTGAACCACTACCGAAAAGACTACTAAAGCTGCGCCGGTTAAAATAGAAGCACCCCGTCAGGTTTTAAATCACAACTTTCTGTTTTGGCTATCGGTCCGGGTCCGTATGGGACAGCTTTTGGGTCCGGACGTGGACCGTGGTCCACCTGTTAGTGACCTCTGTCCTAGATGGAGGATCAGCTTTAAACAACTGCTCAAAGTAGTCGGCCCACCGGGTCACAATTACAGCGTCCCCTGACAGCAGAGGAAGATGGCCATCTTGCTGGAGAGACAAGCCTACTGCCTACCAGGATGGGCCACCTCAAACTGGGACCCAAATTCCGCCATGCAGCAGGCGATACCTCAGCACCACACCAGCCCCAATCCCCAACAGGTCTGACCCTATTAGCTCTCCGACAGTTTTGACTCTTCCAGGGATGAGGCTTCCGAAGGCTTTCCCCATACCCTTCATGATGCGTGCAGCCTTCCTGTGGGTGACTGTGGCAGAGCTACTCCAGCAGAGAGCAGAAGGGTGTCGTGCCTGTATAGACCCAGCTGCTGTGAAGTGTTTTACGGTGGCTGGAATGCCAAACCTGCCACCAACCCCTAATGTTTTTTCCCTACAAGTTGGATTTGCAGGGCCAAATGCAGTTTAACATCATACCCAGGACAGTTAGCATATTCCACAAACATGCTTTTTTTTTTTTGTTAAATACGCACCTCGATTACATAGTTTGACTACAAAACATTGCAAATGATTAAATTTCAAAATTGTTTTAAGTATTGTACAAAATATTTTTTGTGGTATGATTCCAATCATAATGACATTGTATTCATAAAAATGAGAGATACAAAAGCAGCATGCTACAAGTCCATATCAGCACCTTAATCCTCATGAATGTTTTGCTCTTGACGTTGCTGGGGGGGGGCCCGGGCCCTGGCGCAGCTTCTGCGGCCGCCCCATCTACCAGTCCGTCCCTAAAAGGCCACTAAATGGCTTCTTTCATATCTCCCCTAAACAGATACCCTTACAGTAAATTAGCTGTGGCCTGTTTACAAAAGGCCCCAGTGAGTTGTCGTGTTAGACATACCAGTGTAATCAAAGGGCTGCCATTTAGCAGAGTTATCTTTTACCGGAGCATGCTTACTGTGTGGCAAGTCTACCATTTGTATATTTGACACCAGTCAAATGTTTTCTCCCTCAGCCTAGACTCTGTCTGTCAGTGGGGCAAAATTGATATGCGGTTGAACAGTGCCTGGACAGTGTCTCAGAAACGGGATAGTTGGGGCTTAATATAAGCGGTTGTGATAGCCCCAAAACAACATACACCGTATTGGCCCGAATAATATAAGACGACCCCGATAATAAGATGACCCCCACTTTTTGGCAACTCTTTTTAGAAAAAAAGTTTTTGGAATACCAAATCTTACCAAATTTTAATTAACAAGAACATATAAGTTAACCAGCAATCACATCTTAAAAAGCAACCACAGGCAATCGGATTACAATAAGTGTATTAAACAGCAGATGTTCCAAAAGCTAAATGTATTATTTTGGGGACAGGGGGAGGGGGGATAGATAATGAATATTACAAACTCCACAACAATGTTTTGAATTATTTTTGGGGAAGGTTGAGCCATATTAATAAATTATATGACAGCTCTTTTAAAATGAATGTTACTATCTTTGGCGCCATGTATTCCCTGTTTTGTCTAGAGCCTGATTATAAGACAACACCACTTTTTCAGATGTTTTTTGAGAGAAAGAAAAAAAAACCTTATGTTCCGGCCAACACGGTTTTTAGATAGAAATTTCCCCGAAAGTGCCCCGATTTACAATTTTAAAAGCAGCCAAACAAATGATGTGCCAATCATTTTCTGTATTTCAAGAAGGTGGGTGTATAGCTATGAACACAGGTATGGGTAAACAATATAAAAGAAAATGTAATACTTCCTCTGCTATTTAAAAAATGTGTAGATAGGTCTAGTAATAAAAGCAGATACAAATTATAGCCCAGGTAACTTAAATAAACCTCCATAAATACACATTTTCATTTAATTTAGAACTATTGAATCGTTCAGTAATGAATGTCATTTTTTTAACAGCACAATAAAAGTAAAATAGTACTTTTAAGTGGACAATGAGTATAACATGGCAGTTTTAATTTCCTCAGGAATATTTGGAGGAGTAGATCCCGATGTGATCTTCTGTCTTGGAAAACTCCATTGATTAAATATAGAAAGAAAACAATAAACTCCTTTCTTCGCATATTTGATTATTATTACTAAAATATTATTAAATGTAATAATAATCATTACCACTGGCATCCTGTCCAGCCTGTACCTCCTGTGCTGCCTGGGATAGGCTCCAGGCCCCCACGTGACCCTGACCAGAATAAACATTTGGAAGTTGGGTATAATTTACTGTAATAATACAAATATTTATTACAAATAAAAATGATGTTCATACTAATATATTTTCAGTTTAAATATGCAATACCTTACAATGGCCCTATTATATGGCAGAGATACTGGCGGACTAGGCCTTCTCTTCTGGCACACTGTATTGTCCTTTGGGGACTCCCTGACACAAAGCAGGCACTTTAAATGTGTATCTTTTTGCTGCCAAACTATTGTATGCTGGCTTCTTATATTTCTTTTGTCCTTGTCTTTGTGATCTTTCTTTCTCACCCCATTCCTTCACATCTCAGTATGAATTTCCCTGGAGAATTCAGTTTATGATTGCACTGGTTTCATTTGGCTCTCTGTTTTAATAGTGCACCAAACCTTACTAGACCGAATCCATCTTGTGTAAATAAAAAGGATATAACATGATACCTTGTACCTTTTAAGCAGGGCAGATGGTTAACATAAATGATCCAAAGACATGCTATGATTAAAATGTTTTAGGAGACTACATAAACATAATGATCATAGTTATTGATGTTAGTATAGTATGGAAAAATTTACTTTTCCTTTACAGGAAAAGTTTACACCTTTTCTTTGTCTTTTCAAATATATATATATATATATATATATATATATATATATATATATATACACACACACACACACACGTGTGTATATATATATATATATATATATATATACACACACACACACATGTATATATATATATATATATATACACACACACACACACACACACACCATGTATATATAAGAATAGATGAGTGAAAGAATGCTGAGCTGTTATTTTCTGAACAGGATGTGATGCGTTATGAGCAGTTGAAATCTGGAGTCATCCATCATGATTTACTTGTTGACAGCTTGATCTACAAGGTAGGAAACTTTTTTTAAAAAGGCAAACTCTTAAAAACAAGTATCTCATGTTGCTGTCAAATATGGATGTTTGAAAATTTTTATACAAAATTAAATACAAGATTTGTTTATGTTTTTGTGCATTATGTGTCCACAAATTTACTTTATATAAAAATATATATAATATTTATCTATTGATATCCCACTGTTGGTGTTTTCACTAGGATGTGAAACTCACAGCCAGTAATGATGACTACTACTTTGTGTTTGAAGATTACCTGTATCAGGTAAGTAGCCAGTTTATTTACCTTGCCTGCTATTGGGTGCCATCTTCCTGTTAACTCATTTTGACAGGATTTCTCCAGAATGCCCTGTCTTATGTATTGGTCCTCAAGCTTTGTTTGCATCAAAATGGAGGACAAGGTCATCCACCTGGCCAAACTGTACTTAGCCTGGTGCAGCATATAACAATGTATAGCAAAACTCAGAGACAGGGTTGTTATGTTGCTTAAGGGTGTGTTGTGAGTGAGCTTTGCCTCCGGGTTGTCAAGGAATTCAGCAAACAGTGCACCAGCTGTGATCGTGCTTGGAAATTAACTAAATCAAACTGGCAACTGTTGCTGCTACTTGGTAACATCTCAGATGAAGCACAGTTGTTTAATCATATTTGGGCCTCCAGAGTAGCAAGCTGGTGTGCTTTCAGTTTTTATATTTATCAACTGAAGATTGCTAAGATGCTTACATACCAGTAATGTTTACAAAATGAACCATTTATGCCTTATCACAGGTTTCTCTTTTAAAATAATTAATAATGATTTTATATAAGAACATAAAAAGTTTACAAATGAGGGGAGGCCATTTGGCCCATCAGGTTTGCTTGGGGAGAATTCAACAAATCGCTTAAAGTTGTACAAATCTTATCTGCCTCTGACTTAAAGGAACCCAAGGTTTTAGCTTGCACTACACTAACAGGAAGACTATTCCATACACCAACTATATGCTATGTAAAGAAGTGCTTTTTCAAATCTAGTTTAAAATGTTGTCCCGCTAATTTCCACCTATGGCCATGAATTCTTGAATTAGAACTAATAAGTAACTATTTGGTACGTTGAACAGCATCCAGACCTGTTAGAATCTTATATACCTGGATCATGTCCTCCCTTAGTCTCCTTTGTTCATGGCTGAACAGATTCAGCTCTGCTAGCCTCTCTTCATAAGACATTCCTCTAAGACCAGGAATCATTCTTGTAGCCCTGCGTTGAACCCTTTTCAAGGCAGCAATGTCCTTTTTAAGGTATAGTGACCAAACCTGCATACAATATTCTAGGTGAGGTCTTTCCAAGGAATTGTATAGTCTTAGCATCTACGTAAATGTAAATGATGGCAGCATTCATGCAATTTGGATATTACTGAATCTTATACTGTGATAGAAGCTGACATAACATGACATAACAATAAACCGCATTTTCCAGCCTAAACTGTTAGTTTTAATTTTTAGCAGTTTTTTTTAAATTATGATTTAAGCTGGACTTACTATGTCAGGCAGGGCCGGTCACTTGCTGATGGTGTCATTTGGCGCTGGTATCAATTTTTACGCCAGTGGAAAACCAACACGAAAGAAGTACCTTACTTTCGGCACTTTATGGAAGTACCGAAAGTATGGTACCTGGTGCGGTGGAAAAATGCCCTTAAACTCCACACACCTGGAGATATAACCCAACATCCCCACACTGTTGAGAATGGGACATGGAAGCATCAACATAATCAGTCTTCTTTATTTCAGTTCTTTGTATTTCTTCTCACTGCATGGATTACCTTACATTTGTCTACATTAAATTTCATCTGCCAGGTATCAATCCAGTCACAAATTAAATCAAGATTTGGCTGTAGCCTCTGTGCCACTAATTCAGTGTCTGCTAGACCAGTGGTTCCCAAAGTAGGGGTCACGACCCTCTGGGGGGTCGTGAGACATTGAGGGGGGGGTCGCGAGATGATTTCCAAGAAATCAAATTTTTTTTTTTTTAACTATTAGAAATAACATTTTATCAACATTTTAACATTTTATATTAACATTTTATCAATAACTAACAAAAGATAAAAACTAGTAGTTAATAGTTACATTTTAAAAAAACATGCAAATTAGCCTTTCAAATTTATTTCCGTTTGATCGCGACGCCTGAGGTGATTACAACAGATTAACGACACATCAGTAGCGTCAGTTGCAGCAGAATTTACAGCACCATGTTAAACATTCCGACATGTGCACGTAACGTGTAGGTAATTTTCATCGCTTTATGCTTAGGATATTATTTTTGTTGAAATGAAACGAATGAGTAAATAACAATTTTTTTAAAAGTTATATGGTTGTTAGAGCGTTGTGTTCTTTTGTGTTGTCATGCTCTTGTTTGGATAGGATATTTTGTTGAAATTAAACAAATGAGTAAATTACTATTAAAAAAATATATATGGTTGTGTTCTTTTGTGTTGTCATGCTCATGTTTGGATAGGCCTATTGGCGCATGTGCACTGTTGCGCGCATCATTCGTATATTTTAACCACTTCCGAGGATAGTGGGGGTCACGAGTAACTGGCACGGTTATTTTGGGGGTCGTGAGCTGAAAAGTTTGGGAACCCCTGTGCTAGACCATCCACCTTGGTGTTGTCTGCAAATTTAACCAATTTACTGTATATATTAGTGTTGATATCGTTTATGTAAATTACAAAAAATATTGGTCCTAAAATTGAACCCTGGGGTACCCCATTACAAATACAGGTCCACTGTAACATTGTGCCTCTAATAACAACCTGCTGCTTCCTGTCTGTTAACCAGTTTTCAATCCAAGCTGCTGCAGTTCCTAAATTCCTTCTGCTTTGAGGTTAAACAGAAGTCGTTTCTGGGGGACAACATCAAAGGCCTTCTGGAAATCTAATAGATCACATCATAGAACATAAGAACATAAGAACATAACCCAGATCCTTTTTATGATCAATTTCCCCTGTAGCTTCCTCAAAGAACTCAAGTAGATTTTTAAAACAGGATCTGCTTCTCCTAAATCCATGTTGACTATCCGTCGGAATGTTATTTGAATCCAGGTAATCTGCCATTTTCATTTGCATTATAGTTTCCACAACTTTTCCAGTTATGCAAGTTAAACTAATTGGTCAATAGTTTGAGGGATTACTTCTATCCCCGTTTTTGAATATGGGCGTTATATTACCATGGTTCCAATCAGAAGGTACCACACTAGCCCATAAGGATTTCTAAAATAGTAAAATTAAAGGTTGGCAAATAATACCCTTCATCTCTTTTAAAGCTATAGGTAAGATGCCATCAGGGCCCTGCAATTTATTTATTGTGAGCTTCAGTAGGCTTTGTAGTATGTCAGCTTCAGTTACATGTAATTTTACCAAAGACGAAGCTGGATTAGGAATAAGTGTTGGTATGTTACTCACGTCCTTTGCAGTATCCGTACAAAACAATCATTAAACTCATTAACCATATTGGTTTCATTTCATAAGACCCATACTATTCAGCTGATTAGTGACTTTCAGAATTCAGCTCTTTTGCAGTTAAAAAATTGGAAGAAACTTTTAATGTTATCCTTTGCAACCATTGTGCAAAAATTAAAATTAGAATTGCTAAGAGGAATGTCGAAAGGATTCGACATTCCTGTTAGCAATTCTAATTTAATTTTTTACCTCAATCTGTAGACTTTGATACTAGGGGTGTAACAGTACACAAAAATCACGGTTCGGTACATACCTCGGTTTTGAAGTCACGGTTCGGTACATTTTCTGTACAGCCTGGGTTAAAAGAAACAACATAAATTGCTTCTTTTTTCGTTATTAAACAGTGGTTTACTGAACAGAGTAAGACTTTCGTAATAAACAGTCTCTGTCAATACCTCTGCTACTTACTACAAAAAAAATTCTCTCAAGTAAATAAAAAATAGAATAAATATCCATTAAGGTGCACGTTTAGAAAATTAACTTTACCTGGTCTGTACTGCATTCACATTAGCAGCTTTCAGCCTCATATTAGAACTGTGCAACATAAATATTGTCTCAAAAAATACAAAACACAACATAATAAATATCCATTATGGTGCAGTATTTAAAAAATACATGTGTTGTGCTTGTATTCATATTAACAACTTCCACCTTTATATTAGGACGTACGTGTACATGCATAGTGGTGCGGCTTCATCCGCTTCTTTCCAAATGTTAATCGGGGGAAACAAACAAATACACAAAGGTACATATGCATACCGAACGGAAAAATCCATACTGAAAATTTTCGGTATGAATACGCGTACCGTTACACTCCTATTAGATACATCTGCTTTTTTACGACATCATTAGTTATTTAATATGTGTGATACAGAGCCCTTTTCCTCCTGACTTTCTACTTAATTTCAGAACAAAATCACATTGCTTGCAGTTTCCTAGATTTAGTATTGCTGGAAACAGATATGTAGTCCCCTTGCGCTTGTAATAATGTGCTTTAAAAAAATTCCTATGCCTCTTGAACAGTTTTGTTATTTAACTCCATCCAGTTTACAGTTTCTAGTTTCAGTCTCATACCATTATAATTGGTCTTCCTAACATTGTGTTTTTTTGTTTTGGACTTTGCTGTTCGCACACTAAAATAACCTACAATTTAACCATGTTTAACCATATTCAAATTATGAATGAGAATCGTCCTTCGTGAGGTAACTTTGTGTATGTATTTATATGTGTGTGTTATCAGATCTTGCTGTGTTTTTCACGGGATACAACAGTTCTGGAGCATTTCATCTACAACAGTGCCACACCTCCTAAGTCCTCCGTCCAGGGTGAGAGCATTCAGGTGACGCCTGCTTTAGACTGGCAACAGAAACACTTGTGGCTTACATATACTAACCATGTGGTCTCCAATAGGCAAGCAGGGAACTGAGGAATATGCTCTGGTTTACCCACCCAATGGTAAGAGTTCTGTGCAAACAAAACTGGATGGCTGCTTGTAGAGATTTACTGTTTAACATATGTACTTTCGTATTTTCTTGAAGGTGTCATTCCCTTTCATGGCTTCTCTATGTATGGTAAGGATTTTTGTTCTAATCAGACATGCAACTGTTTCTTGACTGTGCAGGTAAATGAGCTTAGTGAGTGAACTTGATTTGGCAGGTTTATATATTACAGGTAATATGTTTAGCCATTAAGTGTAAAAAGTTTATGCAATCTTTAAAATGAAGTAATTTTTGAAAACTATTGATCTACCTGAAAAAGTACTTTTTCAGTAATTGAAACTTCTGTTATTGTATAATGATAAATTAGGTTATATAGAAACATCCTTTAAGTCTCCCACAATGTCCTTGGCTCTGTTACAGTGGCCCCCCTCTGCTTCCTGTATAATGAACCCTCCCAGCTATACAGAATTTTCAGGGAGATGTATGTGCGCTACTTCTTCAGGCTGCACTCCATCTCCTCCTCTCCCTCAGTGAGTCTGACAGTATGGTGTGTAGGTGTGTGTGTGTGGTCATGTGTATATTACAATATGGGGACCAAAACCTCTTATTCTGACCTTGTGGTGACATTTTTCCGGCTCAGTTTTATAAAAATCTGTGAATGCAATCAAAAAACTAAAAATGTCAAAAGTCTGGTTGTTTGGTTACTATGGTTGAGGTTAGCACTGGGTAGGGGTTAAGGGTGTTGTAGTTAGGATTAGGGTTATGTCCATAGAAATTAATGGAGAGTCCCTAAAATGGTAGTAATATGTGAGCTGTGTGTGTGTGGATTAGGTTTATATTACTTTGTGGGGACCAAACATCCCCTGCAATGTAATAAAAACCTGTTTGTTTGACGTTGTGGGTACCATTTTTAAGATCCCCACAAAGATCTGTGAATGCAATCAAAAAAGTAAAAAGTGTTTTGTTTAGTTACTTATGGTAAAGGTTAGGGCTGGGTGAGGGTTAAGGTTGTCATGTTGTGATTACAGCTTTCCCCATAGAAATGAATGGAGAGTCCCCACAAAGATATAATTACAAAGCTGTGTGTGTGTGTGTGTGTGTGTGTGTGTGAATGCGGCTGCAATTAAATGATCTGTGTGTATGTTTCTGTAGGGCATTGTGTCACTGTGTCTCCAGTTTGAGAAGCTACTGCAAATCCACCTGCCCCAGCTTTTCTATCACCTGCGTGAGATGGGAGCTCAGCCGTGAGTGCCTCTCATCCTGACCTTCATCTTCATCCTTACTCCCCCATACTCCTCACATCAAGAATTCCATTCTGACTGCTAATTTTTCTGCATTCTTCCCACAAGGCTCTAAAACAGAACATTTGTGTACTACATTTACCCAAGGCTACAAACTGAGCAAATCACATTATGACAAAACATCCTTATTCAGTTCAGCTTGGGAAGTAAAATCACAAATACCTTTTTGCAAGTCTTACAATTCAACACTAAATTTGATGGAAAATCAATAAACCTTTACTTTTAGCTAAGAAATTGAACTGTAGCTGGAGCAGAGGAGGGAATTTTTGTTTTTCTTGAGTAGTAGTGAAATTGATGTACCTGGTGGCCTATAGAAAAAGCATCATTGCACATCCCCTCTAAGATCACGCCCAATAGAGGGGGAAACAGCTTGTAAAACTCCACTGTGAAACTATCAGGACCAAAAGAATTTGCCACTTTGTAAGGACCTGACTGCTTCTTGCACTTCTAAACAACATAGTTCTTAAACATGATGTGGGTGCACCCGATTTTGTGTCAAGTTTGTTGTCAGCTTTGGGGTAAAAAAAAACCGACTGAGGGGGTTGGGGCCTGCCCAGACGTGTGGTAAATAATCTGTAGAGTAAAGTTTGGAGTAGTAAGTTGAAAAAACATTATTAATATTATGAGGGCCTGAAAGGGGTCACCAGTCATTGATTTGATTTTGGGGATTAATCTTGAAGTGCTAACTGCGTGCCTGGTTCATCAAAAGCTTGCCTGCTTTCCCACCAAATTCAAAGAAGCACTGCTTGGTATGTAACCACTGTCTGTCAACTTTACTAGCTGAGAGCAGATCATGTTCAGATTGGAGTATTGGAGTATTTTTAGCCCTTTTTAAATGGGAGAGAAATTAGGTAACTTCTCCATGAAGGTAATCTTTAAAAGTCTCCCAGATAATGCCACTGCTCACATCAGGAGTATCATTAGTCTAAAAAAACCCCCAAAAAGCGTAATTTCAGATAAAATAAAATCTTTAAACTTATAATCAGAAGACAATTGTGAGCTCAATCGCCATTGTTTGCATGCTTTAGCTAGTAGTAAAACATTACCTATCATAAAAAAACTATTGGTATTCTGTGCACTGAGCTGGTAGGTATTCCTTAGCCTCTTCAGATGAAGAGATTTTTTTTTTGCCGCTGATAATGGTCGAAAGTTGGAGCCTGGCACAGTAGATGAGTAAAGGCTTAAGGCGCCGATTACACAGTTCTGCCATGACCCCTCGGTATCAGGAGTACTGCTTAGTGACTTCAGGGGTGTCATCTTCATAGATGCTAATGGCCTTCCCATGGTACTGCAGCTCTCCCTCCTTCTACGGACATCACGGACAACCTACTGTTTAGTCTGGTAGCGAAGAAAACAGCTTATGTCTGCCCTTGGCTTCTCCCTGGACATTGGTTTAGCCATGGGGGGGGGCGATAGGCTTTGTCATGTTCTGGTGGAGTGGGCAAGACTTAATCGCCCAGAACCTTGGACAGCAGCTTGGAGAAGAAAGCAGTTGCATTGGGGCCCTCTACCGACTCTGGTAGGCCACAGATTCTTATATTATTAGGCTTCACGCCTCAAGATCAGCGGTTTTAGCCTTTAACTTGGCATTGCTATCTGGTAGATCCACACATGTTAATTCCAGTGATTGTATGTGTTCGCTGAGCTAGTTATCCCTATATTCAATCGCAGTAATCCACTGGCCATGATCTATGGCATTAAATTAGTGCCAAAACTCGCGCGTATATAAAAACCACGCACAAGTATGCGCTCGTGAGCAGAAAACCCATCCTCTCTACGTGCTCGCATTTGCTGCGCGTCTGCACAGCACTCGCTCGCTCAATAGGATGAATTTTGACACTTTGGAGGTGGGAACAGTGGCTAATATCTCCGGCCCTTTGATTGGTTTTTTTAAATATTGACTACGATTGGCTATTTGCTTTGGTAGAAGATGAAGAGAACTTGTCACTGACCGCGGTTAAGTTGGCCTCATATTCGATATTCAATTTTATGGCTTTAATAACTTTTAACGTAAGTAAGGTGGGGCATTTTTAATGACAGAATTGTGATGTCCAGTACATAGACAATGATGCACACCGATTATTTTTGCGCTTCAAACCATTTCGTGATTTGTGCAAAATCGTGTTAATAGCTAATATTATATGTTCTTTCAGCTGTAATGACATGGTGGTTTAGCATTTTGGGCTCATGGCGACTGTTGCTCACCCCTCTGTTTCCCATATTACTCTACGTACGAGTTTTAATTAATTTCTTAATGTTCGAATGTATCCGTATAATGTGCAATGGGACAATACATGAATGGCACTAATTTAACGCCATAATGATTAGACACCATAGCTTGCAGGAGATGAAGCTTTGTCTCTAGAGATGTAAGAGCAGTCTTGAATTCAGCCGATAGTGTGGTCCGGTGATTCACCAAGGGACTTAGGTGGCGGGCGCTTCATCTTTGGCACAAATAGCATCTATTTTAAGCTTGTTTAGCCAACTTAGTCACATGGTGTAGCAGGCAGTACCTTATAAGTCTTAACGTACAAATGGAGTGACAAGCAGTGTATTTTTAGGGGTTTAAAATAATATGAAAAAAATGTAGAGGGAGCGTGAGGCTAAGGGCTGATTTATTTTCTACCTTCGCTATGTGTCTGAGTACGCATCATAGGGCTGGAATATATTTCATGCGAGGCGACGCATACGCAATGCAACACATACACAACACAAGCAGTGTACTAGCTATACTTGCACACGTAGTTTACACCTATCTTGAGGATTAAAGGTCATGTCCACCAGGGGGCAGTGTGAGAAAACCATCTTTGTTGGCTCCTTCATTTCCGGTCTCACTTGTTTGTATGAGGTTGTGGCATGAAATGTTTTGCTACCTCCACAGCGAGTTGCTAATTTTGTAATACTGCTGCAGCATCCTCTCTAACTACTGCTTTTGGTAGTTCACTCTGCCACATATTGTTTTACTACTCCAAATTGAATGTTGTTAGATATCTCGTAGTAGTTAGTATTTTGTAATTAGGCTGCACAATATTGGAAAAAAAGTGGCATGGCTTGGTAGCTCTGTGATTAGCACTGTAAGGTCAGACCTTCAGGGTTCCCACCAAGAGCAGAGACATGGCTTGGTAGCTCTGTGATTAGCACTATAAGGTCAGACCTTCAGGGTCTCCACCAAGAGCAGAGGCATGACTTGGTAGCTCTGTGATTAGCACTGTAAGGTCAGACCTTCAGGGTTTCCACCAAGAGCAGATGTATGGCTTAATTGCTCTGTGGTTAGCACTGTAAGCTGAATTGGTGTGTCAAAAATACTAGTCTGTCAATCTGTGTCTTGCAACACTAGTGGAGAAGCGGTTATGGAATAGCAAAGAAATACTACCATCTAGTGGTACACTATTATCACTACATCAATTGAAGTGTGCTTGGACATTGACATTAAACCACTTGAAATTAAAAATCTGGTATACTTTTCTATGATTTTTTATCTAGAATTTGTAACAGTATTATGTAATTTTGTAAGGAATGTGTTTAAGTAGTCGTTTACTGTGAAAGGTCAGTAAATGTCTTTTTTGGTCCTAAATTACTAAGCAGACTTTTAAGCTTTCATGCTTCTCCGATCAGCCATAATATGAAAATCACTGAGAGGTGAAGTGAATAACATTGATTATATCGTTACAATGGCACCTATCAAGGGTGCCATTATATATTAGGCAAGTGAACAATCAGTTCTTAAAGTTGATGTGTTTGGAGCATGAAAAATGAGCAAGCATAAGAATCTGAGTGAAATAGTGATGGCTAGAAGACTGGGTCAGGGAATCTTCAATATGGCAGGTCCTGTGGGATGTTCCCGGTATGCAGTGCCTTGTACCTACTATAAATGGTCCAAGGATAGTCAACCAGTGAACCGATGACAAGGTCATGGGCGCCCAAGGTTCATTGATGCTCATGGAGAGCGAAGGCTAGCCCATCTGGTTTGTTACCACAGGAGAGCTACTGTAGCACAAATTGCTGAAAAGGTTAATGCTGACTATGATAGAGAAGTGTCAAAACACACAGTACATTGTAGCTTGCTGCGCATAGGGCTCCTTAGCCATAGATCTGTCAAGGTGCCCATGCTGACCCCTGTCCACTGCTTAAAGTGCCTATAATGGGCATGTGAGCTTCAGAACTGGACCATGGAGCAATGGAAGAACGTAGTCTGTTCTGATGAGTCGCAGTTTATGCTGCATCATGTGGATAGCCTGGTGTGTGTGTCTTTACCTGGGGAAAAGATGGCACCACCATGCACTAGGGCAGAGGTCAGCAATCTGCGGATCACGAGTCAGATGCGGCTCTTTGTCGTTCTGAGAAGAGCCGCAGCCACGTGGTCAGACGCATTCACATTTTCATGTTTTAACATATTATGATAATATACTTTTGCGAAGATAAATTATTTATGGATTCATACTATTATTTTTCATTTAGATATTTCTTTAGTTATATGTGAATGAGGCGGTCCGCCATACACTTCTGTGATGTCTTTACTGCACCATTTACATCTTTCTCAAAGTCATTCTCTACGACTAAGATTATGTCTCCAGTGAATTGGTATGCTTTCCAGAGTTTTCTTCAGTATTTGAGATTGGATGCACGCTTCAGCATTTATTGGGATTCCTAATTCTTTCATATAGTTTTTGTAGTTAATCATCACCACGGCTTCCCAGGTCTTCATAAGAATTATTACATTTTCTTCGATTTACACATTATAACCAGCTGGGAGTGGTGAGTACATTTTGCTCTGCTTGGTCAGCAGTTACAGCAGTGAAGTGGAGAGTGGAGGGCAAACAACTGCAGAGCCACACAAACTTTACTCATGAGAAAAAAGGGGTAAGGGTGAAGAGTATTGTTATGGAACTGATCAATGTTGTAATATTAGTCACCTTTGCGCTGTTACGCGTCCGAGTGATTTAAACCTGAGATACTGTCCCCCAAAAATAGTTTTTCTTTTATTTTTTGAAAGTACTTTAAGTTTTGTTTTTGTGTTAAATGCATATATACCCATATCACATTAAAATCATATTTCAAACCCCCGTTTCTAACCATTGCAGCTCTTTGTAAATCTTTGGTCAGACATTTAAGATAAAATGACTCTTTGCTTTAAAAAGGTTGCCGACCGCTGCACTAGGGGAAGAATGCTCTAGACAATGTTCTTTTACAAAACTTTTGCTCCTGCTATGATGTCACTAAGCGATAGGAGTTTTTCAGCTCCGTTATAATCTATCATGTATTCTGCTCTTCATTGACTGAAACGTTATTGTGTATGTGGTGTATGACAATATACGGCATATTTATTATACTAGTGTGCTGCAGCAAGTTATGCTAGAACAGCATATTTACAGCTGCACGATATTTTTTTGGAATAGCTCATAAAATATTATCCATTGTCATAGACGCATTAAAGAAAGCTAATTTCTAAAAAAAAAAAAAAGAAAAAAGTTCTAATCGTAGTTAATGGAATACATTTGACTGCTGAAGTCTGTCATAGACTAATATCTTTGGATTGGAATTAGTCTCCATTGATACCAGTATTCCTTTTGTTTGACCCTGCAGGTTACGTATTGCCTTCAAATGGATGGTCCGTGCATTTTCAGGCTACCTTGCCACTGACCAGCTCCTCCTGCTCTGGGACCGGATACTGGGGTATGATTCATTGGAGATAGTTGCTGGTACGTTAACCATATTTGGTCCAAGATAGAAGAATTGTTCTGCATACTAAGGACAGGGAACACAAATCATAATGACTTAAATGAATCACAACTAGAGGTAGTGTCTGTTACTTGCTGTCCATTATACTGTGTGGAAGGTGCCTGCCACAAGTAACACATGCTGAAAGGTATATCCATCTATCCTTCCATCCATTATCTCCCGCTGAATCCGAGGTCGGGTTGCAGGGGCAGTGTCTCTCAGTGGGACATGCCTAGAACACCTCACCAGGGAGGCGTCCAGGAGGCATCCAAATCAGATGCCCAAGCCACCTCATCTGGCTCCTCTCAATG